TATATATATATATATTAATGTACAGAGCATTTAGAACTCTGTTTTCGACCCTGTCTATCATGCCAACTCGTGCTGAGAGAGATATAACGTCCCAACGGAAACACGGAGACAGTCGGAAGAAATTCTCCCCACAAGGGAAACGAATTCAGGTTTTCTGCGTGCGACTGCGAGGCGATTAACTGTTACACAACAGACGCCAGCCAACTACGAGTTAAAAAGCTGAATGCTTCCTTTAATCATTTCCTATAGCTTTTTTTTTTACCTGGAGGAAGCCAGTTGTGTATCTCAGACTCATACGCTGATAGTATTGTTTTGTAGGACACAACAACCAAAATTTTGGACTTTAAAATAAAAGCACTATAACAAAGTCAGGCTCAGTAACACAAAATAAAGCTATTGGTTTTTATAGATGCTTGTCTAGGTCTCGTAGGAGATGGATACTGAGTTTAGAACGTACAATGGTTTCAGGCGAGAAAAACGTATCCCTTGGCAGTTTAGTATTTTAGTTTAGTATGGGGTTTAACGACGCTCGAAACTGCATAAGGTCATAAGAGCGCGCGTCATACTGTGAAGACATAAGTACTTTACATAGATCTAGGAACACCGGCGCTTGATTGTACAGTCGAAACTGTCTAAGACGACCACCTGTAACCGAGGAGAAAAGTGGTCGTCTTAGACAGGTGAGTGTATATGTAATGCACAGTGGATTATAATGTAAAAAATATACAAGGGAGGAAATTGGAAGTGACCTTTTGTACAGGTGATTGTCTTATACAAGTGGCCGTTGGAGTAGGTCCGACTGTAGTTCTTTTTTTTCGCCCCCATCAACCCCTGCCTGGTGCTCGAAGACGTATGTTCTTGGTTTAGGAACATGGAACCTAAAGAGCCCTGATTGCCAGACAGGCGCCAACAGTCAAGTGGAAAGTCTATTTTTGTCTGAACGTCTCTCCTGTCCCTTCCTCATCTTGGGGTATTTTTTCGAAATAATGTAGTGGCCATCTGTAAACAGGGCAAATTTTTACTGAGTGGTTATCCGTACAATTGTGCGAACAACTCTGTCTAGTTATCCGTACAATAGTGTACCGTACAATTGTGCGAACAACTGTCTAGTAATCCGTACAACGTTGTACGCACAATTGTACGAAGTGCTGCAGGTATCCGTACAAGAGTAGGCCTACAAGCCCACAGGCCTATTACCTACATGTTCTGTCTTAGTAGATGTAAAAATCTAGATCTAGACCTAGAGATTCTAGATCAGTGTTTCCAATATTCCACCAACTGAATTTTTTAAATTTTTCGTCAGACCTCATCCGCGGTCTGATGCCAGCCGCCTCATTGATGGTGTGCCCCCCATGCCTCAAGTAAAAAACAACAACTAAGTAAGTCTAGATCTAGATCTAGACTCTAGATAGACAGATCTAGACATATGTATTGCTTTGAAATCGTGGTGTAAAAACATTTAAGCTTAATCTACCTCCTTCTGTTGATAGTTCTGATGGCCGAAATGACAGCGTGTCTGCGTTTGAAGAAGTATTATATTATAAGTGTGGGTTCGAATCCCGGTCCCGGAAGGTTTTTTTTGTTTTTTGTTTTTTTTCCCTTCTTCTTCTTCTTCTCTCTCCTCCCCCAACTGACCAACAATTTTCCCCATAATTGTTTGTTTTGACTTCAAAGAATTCCACTCATGGTTTTGTGTAAAAACAAAGAAACATATGGATCTAGATTCTAGATCTAGAATCTAGTCATAATTAGATCTACTTATATATTAATAGAAGTATAGATCTAGCCTACTTTTCCTATTAGGCCTACCAATTTAGGCCTGTTTAAAGTTATTACATTGATGCTCAACCCAAGGGAGAACCAACTGGATGACTAGATCTAGTGATCTAGGCTTATTTGTACCAACAACCTCCAAAATTGGAATAATTGTACGAATAAC